CCTTCTAAATCATCTATAATCATGTAACTCTTACTGCTATTGCTATTACCAGATGTGGAGATAACATCTGTAATAGCAGAACTAGCATGTGATTAACATTTTAGTATCAGATAAAAACCGTATCTACAATATATACCTACTTATATTCTCTTTGCACTGCAGTTTTCCTCATCAGAAAATTAAAAACAGTAATAGCACCTTCCTTACAGTGGTGGTGTTAAATTAAATGAGTGTAATTAGACCTTGTTACTACTATCCAATTATAAGAATATATATTTCTAGGTATAGGCATTTTAACATTTAATTCTAGTAATATATCGATATTCATGTAAATACATATTTATTTATCTATATTTATATAGATTTAAAATTACATGGGTATTGATATGGTACCATGATATATCAGGTATACATTTTATTCACATAATATACCTGATATATTATATATATCATAATATAGCATCAAGCATTCAGTTGTGATTGCTAATTTTTGAGGATACTGAAAGTTGTTGGTATGGTAATTTCACTAAAGCATGGGTTTTTTTTTTTTTTCCCCTAATGACTTAGTTGTCAGTTCCTATTATTTCGTGTGTTTACAAGAGGGAAGATGCTTATCAAGCTAATACCCAGACCTTGTTGAATGCAGTATATCTACAGGTATAAATGTTTCAGGACAAAGTAACATTTACAGTGAATATATTACAATGAAAATAGGAATAAAACTTGAGCTGTGTAATCATATATAGCATTAAATAAAAATAGTAATTGTGATGATCCAGTATGTGTTATTCAAATCCTGCAAATATGTTCCATTTTTTTCCTTTTTTTAAATTAAAAAAACCATTGCTACCAGTATGACATTTTATTTTCTTTCTCTGACTTTGTGTTTTGTTATGTGTATTTAATATGTTCTTTTATTTTAAATATGTATTATGTATTCATTGTTTTCTATAACTATTTTAGTACCTGAAGGACCACCACAAAACTGTGTAACAGGCAACATCACAGGAAAATCCTTTTCAATTTCATGGGATCCACCAACTATAGTAACAGGGAAATTTAGTTATAGAATTGAATTATATGGACCATTAGGTAAGCCTTAACTGGTTTTGTGTTTGCTTTTTGGAGAAGAATTATAAAATATGTTAGCAATATCAAACTCTTTAAAAGTATCAGACTCTTTTTAAAAGACTCTAAGACTGAAGCAAATAATATGAAAGTAATAAGGAAGAAGGCGAGGTTTTTTTTTAAATTTTTTTTGTTTAAAATCATAAATGAGTAAAAGGATGACAAAACATTATCCATGTTCCATATTCCATGTGGAGCACATGAAAGAATTAGAGATAACCCTTCAATAAAAGTGTTAGGAGAGATATAATCCTTCAGATATTTGAACAAGAGAATTTTAACTTATAATCATGAAGACAATGGCTTAGATTATTAAATCAGATTTCCATTTAGAATAAGGAACTTATTTCTAATAATTTGAGAGAGCTCTCTAAAAATAAGATGGAAAATCTCTGTATCTTCTGCTGTATTTTTCTGTGAAGCTGAAACTGCTCTGAAAAAATAACGTCTATAAAGCAAGTGATATATGGGCAGCTTTAGAAAGTAAAAAGTTCTCCATCTTTGAAAACAGGCAGAACCTGAGCATTCACTTGTCAGAGATATTTTGAGGGATTCAAATAGTAAATTGTTAGAAGTGAATTAAGTAAACTCTAAAATGTTTTCCTGATCTGAGATCTTGTTCTTTCAATGAAAGAAATTTAATTCAAATAATTATTAAATATCATAAACCTACATATTGTTATTTTGGGGGAAGATGTGGAAAAGATACAAAGTTCTAACTCATTTCATTTTGAAATTTATATGGTATAAATCACGTCAGTAACCTTTATCTCTCATACCTAAATAATTTATGCTCCCAGAATTCTGAAATATCTGCACTTCTCCCCCCAAAATGATAGTTCTCTGAACTCATTCATCCAGTACACAGAAACAGACATGGATACACAGATACATTTTTCCTGTCTGGTAGTATTTTTCAATATGTGGTTTAAATACTCCTTTTTCTGTCAGGCTGACTGATAAATCAAATAAGACATTTAGCAACAGTTGCATTTAGCAGCGTGGAAGTGATTAGTAGTCTTGGCGAGGACAGTATGGTAGCATATATAAGGTAAATGTTTCATTGAATTAGTTTAAGAGAGAATGGAACAAAAGCATTGGAACAGTGGGTATAGAAACTCTTATGAGTGACATGCAGTTATTGGCAATAGTGATATCTAAATTATGATTCTGAGAGAATGGCTGAGATAGGCTGGAGAACTCTAATAGACTATTTAAGGAGAGGTCAGAGTGATTTAAGGATTATCTCTCAGGAGATTAAAATCAGCACAAATTAAGATGGCAGCATTGAATTAAGAGCTAAATCATCCAGAATGAGTGTAAGTGACCCTAGGATTAGTAGAAGATTCTTACAACAATGAGAGCTAGTGTATGTCATTGGTGACATGGGATTTAAAGGTGTGGGCTTTTATAAGGAGGCAAGGAGAGTAGTCTAAAGCGGGGCAAGGAGGGGCAAGGAGAACACCTACCACACCTCAAGGCCTCCTTACCTAAGAGTGGTGGGAAACAATAAGACTGCCACTTTTTGAGGTGGCTGCAGGGGAACAGGAGCACTATTCTTAGGAGAGAGCCAATTTTCAGTTGGAGCAAAAAGGTGAAAGAAATATTCAAGGCAAAATGGAAGATTTAAGGAATTTTTCTGATATACTAAGGAATTTTGTTTAGAAGCTAAACTAGAAATACTTCCTCAGTATATCCTCTTATAGAAGAGAATGAGACTAGCATTTTAATTGAATAAATTTGAGTGTAAAATACTGTCATTATTTTTAATATTGCTAAAGTCTAATGTTTCCCTTTTAAATATATCAAAAATAAAATGGTAATTCAATAATGTTTTGTGATTTAATAAAAATAATTTTAAACACTAGATTTTCATGTTCTTTCCATTGTTTTAATTAAATTGATATCAATATACTACTAAGCCAAATGTTTAAAATATATTCATTTTTGATATTATAATAAATTTTAGTGCATAGGTTAACCCTTGAATAATTGTCCTTTGCTCTATGCTTAAATCTGAAAATGATTACATACTTGATTAAAAAAATAATCCATGGGTATTTTCTACTTTTTGCAGGTCGGATTTTGGATAATAGCACAAAAGACCTTAAGTTTACATTTACTAACCTAACACCATTTACAGTGTATGATGTTTATGTTGCGGCTGAAACTAGTGCAGGGATTGGACCCAAGTCAAATCTTTCAATATTCACTCCACCAGATGGTAAGAAGTTCTTTTGAGAATTAACAAGATATTTTCTGATATGCTTGTGAATTTTATTAAATTGGCAAAACATAATATTAGGAGCAATTTTGTTTATATTTACTTAATTCATTGATATTTCCTTATTAAATTACTGCCTAATTCATTCTGAACATGTGTTTGTCATAACATTAAACCCATAGCATGCTTCATAATAAAAGGGACCCAAGATCTAGCAAGATTAGGAAATACCACATGCAGTATCAGCCTGATAGAGGTTCAAAATAAATTTTAGCAAAACCTCAGGAAGTCTTGAGATAAATACATTTAATTTTGTTGAGCCACATTGTTTAACGTGAAGTATTTTTTTTTCTCACAGAACTAGTGTTCAGAGGAATTTCTATATTCCCAATGCTTACAAAAAATATGTTTATAATCAAAAGGGTATTCTAAGCAAGTGAGGATTCCTGGTGGGCACATGATATGAATTTATCAGCATTTAGTAAATGCTGAGAATTTAGTAATATGAGAACAATATTTCTCCTCAAAAAATTGTCTATATGTATTTATTAAACATCATTGTTTTAGGTGAACTATACTTTAAAAAAAAAATGTTACCATATCATTTCACCACATACTTTCCTGGCCCACACTGAACTTGCTAAATGTCTTAGTTTCTATTTAGGAATTATAATTATTGACAAAAATACAACAATTTCTTACAACACATTAACACTTGAAAAAGTTTTCAGATTTTTCCAGACCATACAGTAATTTATAAGTTAAATATGCACAGCTGCGCAGGTACACCCTCCTCCCATACACAACTAAAGACTGGGCATACGTTTATCAGGTAAATCATTCAAATGTTTGACCATTAGAGGGCAGCAACTAGTAGGCAATTTTGTACTTCCACTTCAAAGAAATAACACTTGATAATATTTTGTTGTAGAAAGAACATAAAAGTTGTGTTTTATCTATTTCAAAGGAGAATACTAATGGGTATATAGTTTCAATATATGGGTTAAGAAAGAGATGTGTGCTCATAAGGAAAATGTTCTCATTTTTTGCATTAAAATTTTACCATTGTGTTTCTGTCAGAAGAGTCTTGGCTTTGTGTGGCTTTTCCATTAGACCTTAAGTTTCTCCCTATTTCCACGTAAAAAGTGCTCTTAGGCATTTCTCAGAAAGCTAGACAGATTTAGGAAAAGCTATCAAACACAGCAAGGCCTGGACTTTGTATTTTCTCAACCAACTCAATTTACTCATTAATTTCTATTCTTACTATAGAATTAAATAAATCCTGAACTTTTTTCTTCTTTCAAATCCAGCTGATTTTGGTGCTTGTAAACCGAATCCACAATTCAAGGTTATTGTTTATTGTCATCATTCTTGGCCTATAGCTTTTGACAAAAATAGGGAAATGATAACACACATGGCACATACAATGCCATGTTGTTTGTTTTGGGTATCATTTAAACAACATTCATTTCCCATTATATCTACATTTTTTATTCACAAAATAAGTAGAATTTTAAGGCCTTTGTTTAATAGATTTAATATGGTCTACTTTTCACACAGAGTCATTTTGAATAGATGACTCTATTTGCACTGTATAAAAGGCAATTTGTTTTGAGTTCCTGAGCCACTGTCTTCCTGAGCCACTCACCATAAAGACCACCCCCTGGTGGCTCTTGGCAACAGGTGAGATCCATTAAAGCCAAGAGTGGCATGTTCCTTACATCCTCATGTCAGTCCTCCTCATGGAGTTCTCTGGGGACGGCTCAGCCTCAGGAGATGTTTCAATGGAATGCTCTGGAAAATGCAATAAATGTAGCTTTCTGCTTCTGACAACACCAATTAGTCCTAGTTCCACTAATTAAAACTTTGAAATAAAGGAGTCTTTAAAGTATGTGAGTACAATCTAATAACTCATTAGAACTATCTACTTTCAATTAAAAATTAGTATCATAATTTTAGATTATCTTTTTTCATTTATTAATATAATGGCTCTTGTACTCTAATTAAGGTTACTCAATTTATTTTCATCTCCATATTTAAAAGTAGTCTATACTCTATTCAAAAATAATTAGGACTAGCTTGCTTCTTTTAAATTAATACCATTTAAAATAACTAGAGTTCTAATAAATCTCCAGATATTTATAGAAAAAAATGTTGTACTGACCTCTTATAGAGCATGAAATGTGCTATCACATTACAGTAGATTTGATTTTATTAACACTGAGAATGTCGTGGTCAATAGTCTACTTTGATTACCAAAGACAATGAACACCCTATTGCTATAGCAGTTCTCCTCTATATTTCCTAAGGTTTCTATATCCCTTAATATTTAACTGTGCAGATTTCTACACAAGCATGAAGAGGTGATTTTGGAAAAAAATTATAATAATCTACAAGATTGCAAAATATCATAGAGTTGCCTATTCTAAAATCAGATAGTGCTGAAACAATATTTTCTTATTTTTATGAGGATAAAAAACATAAATTTTGTTGCTTCAATATCCCTTAATAACATTTCTGTACAGTGTCAAATATCTTATAAAAATTTCCTAAAATTCACAATTTCTTAAAAGCAAATACCCTATTGATATTCTTATTTACATTCCCCCCCCCCCCCCCACCCCATAAATAGACTATGGAAGTGAAGACTTTTGTCCTTCAATTGCAACTTGTTATTTTCTGCAAATGGTAGCAAAATCTTAGTAAAAAATCACTGAAAACCTGTCAACTTTGTGGTTTTTGAGATTTGCAGTAGCTTTAATTTTTAATACATTTAAAAAATGCACTTCTAGTGGACATTTAATTTGCTAGATAATGGCAAACATGATTTTAATGTATTTTGTTTTACACCAATGCCATTTGTCTCCAATTCATTTCTTCTAAGAGCTCTTCATTTGAAAACTTCAAACCATTTGGAATATTTTTAATCAGTTATGTGTCTACTTGGTTTCTCATTTATTAGTAAAATTTATAAACATTTCTCATTTATTAGTAGAATTAGTAAAATTCTCAAGTATTGACTTGAGAATGACTCTTAGGTACTCCCTGTGGACAAACACCTTCAAAATTAAAATCATCTTTGTCATTTTCTAGCAAATTCATTATTTAGCTTCAAGTATGATGATGGAGACAAATAGCATTGGGGTAAAGAAAATATGGAATACTTTTTATCAGTCATATGTCTACTCCCTTTATCATTTATTGGAAAAATTTATAAATGTATTGACTTCAGAATGACTTTTCGGTAGTCCGTGTAGATAACACCTTCAAAATTGATGCTTAACCATGAATAATTGCCTTGTGTATTTGATTTTCTTTAGTTAATTTTGTATCAATATTAAAGGAGTTTGATCTAATCCATACTTCTCTGGTTTCCTCATAAGAATTTGTGGTCTAACAGATCAAGTATCTTTCTAAAGACAAGATACAATGCTATCTACTCCATTTCCTTTATCCTCTAAGCTTTTTTTTTTTAAATAGGAAAAAGAGATAGGTTTACAGTCATTATTCTTATGTAAGTTTGCAGTAGATTTTTAGGGAAATAGAGAACCACTTAATCTTTACTTGGTTTATAATTTTAGGCATTAGTGTCATGGGCCAACACTTATTAAGTTATATTAAGAAATATTATAAATTGAAAGATAAAGAAACAGTGTCTACTACAACTCTTAGGTTTGGTTAGCAAAATAAGGGACAATAAAATAATTTTTTCCTGTTATGCTGGGTAATATCTGATATCCTATCACATTAATGTGTTACATAAAATGGAATTGACCATTTCATTTCATTTTCAACAGGCAGGGTTAAGTTGTCTGATTAATATGATCAAATACAGTCATTAAGCTGGTTTTTCCAGTTGAGATTCTACATCAGTTCAAATTAAATAGAAAATAATGTCTGATCTTTTCTGTAATTTATGTTATGCAATACTGGTTAAAGTTTTGTCTACATAGAGACTGCAAACTAAAATTTTAAAGAAAGATGGAATAGGAGCTCTTCTATTTAAATAGCCCTGTTAATTTTATATCATACGGTTAATTAGAAAGTTCCTTCACCTTTAAAAAATGTATATTGGTTAATATAATGACAGAAATGTAGGTGCTAGGTGAAGTATGTTTTAAGGAAATAAAACTTGCACAAGAGAGGTGACCTTGTGTAAAGGGCTTTATGTATCTCATTCCTCCTTCTATTCTCAAATGTCTAATACAGTGATCATAGGATGAGTGCTCAGTGTGTGGAACAATGAATCAATGACTCATGATTGTCACAATATTTAGAGAGTCTTTACTAGTTAATGAAGACAAAGAAAAAGCTCTCAATTTATTGGATGAAAACTCCATACAGTAATAGTTTACTCTGTGGCTAACTTAATCATAATTATGTTAATTAGTTATAAATAACACTTATGGGAGTTCTAAAATTATTTTTTAGTTCCTTTCTGTTGTCTTAAAAAGGAATGGGGTCATTCTTCTCTGTTCTGTTTTTTTAATTTATTCTTTAAGAATATTGCAAGGTCCAAACACTTCGGTTACATATATTGCCTTTGCACCGCCCAAGTTAGAGCTAGAAGTGTACCCAACCCCCCTGACATCATGCATTGTACCCATTAGATGTGAATTTACCCATCCCATCCTCCCCACTCAACCTGTCTGATGCCCTGTGAAAGTTACTTCCATATGTGCATCTAAGTGTTGCCCAATTAGTACCAATTCAATCGTGAGTACATGTGGTGTTTGTTTTTCCATTCTTGTGATATCTCACTTGGAAAAATGGGTTCTAGCTCCATCCAGGATAGTATATGGGGTATTAGTTCATCATTTTTTATGGCTGAGTAGTACTCCATATTATACGTATACCACATTTTATTAATACGCTCATGTATTGATGGGCACTTGGGTTGTTTCCACAGCTTTGCAATTGTGAATTGTGCTGCTATGAACTTCCAAGTACAGAATGTCTTTTTTATAGAATGTCTTTTTTTCCTTTGGGTAAATACCCAATAGTGGAATTGCTGGATCAAATGGTAGTTCTACTTTGAGTTCTTTGCCATATCGCCATATTAATTTCCATAGAGGTTATACTAGTTTGCAGTCCCACCAACAGTGTAAGAGTGTTCCCATCTCTCTGCATCCATGCAAATATTTGTTGTTTTGGGACTTTTTGATAAAAGCAATTCTCACTAGAGTTAAAGCAATGTGTCTTTTCTAACTGGTATTCATTAAACCCATACCCCTGCCACATATCTAGCTTAGGGAAATGAATATAATGTGTGACCAAATCCTGATCATAAGGGACCATATTTTTATGTCATACTTTCTGTTTCTTGAAGATTTTAGAAATTTTAAAAATTCTCTTGAACCATTTGTTTCTTACAGTAACCTTATATAGTAATAGGAAAGCAGTAATTATACCCATTTTCTAAATGAAAAAAGTGAGGGTTGGAGGGATGAATGAACTATTCATAATTACAAAATGGGCTATAAACAAAAATGGTCAAAAGCCCAGGGCACGTTTATCTGTGTGTTCCATTACTCTTTTGAAACTGGGGGGTTTCCTATGTGTCACTCTTGGTGACTTTATTATTAGAACTTACTTTTTTTTTTTAAGTACCTGGTGCTTTATCTTAATCCAGTTGTTAGTTTGTTCCTATTTTTCTTCACTACTGCCAAGATGAGGTCATCTGAAATTTGAAACTCACATGATTAATTTAAAAATCATCGGACAAAAATCAATCAACTCTTCAAACAATTTCATGTAATAAGTTAAAAGACAGTCTAATTGAATTTACCAACTACATTTCATTGCATGAAAATCTTTTAGATATTATACTTTGGTCTGTTATTGTAATTTTTATGAAGCCTTCAAGATTAACTGGGCATTAATCATCCCCAAATAGGCAGCTTCTCAGAGAAATTATTTTTATTAATTAATTTGTTCTGAATAAATGTTATGGCATTTGGATTTTGGAAAATTATTCTATGATATTGTGGATGAGAAGAAAACTTCCCCTTTGCCCTCAGAAGGTTCGCTGACAGATCAACTCACAAGGCAGCAGATTAATAAGAGAAAGAAATTACAAATTTATTTACTATGCTCATTGGGAAAATCACAGAGTGATTACCCAATATCCCAATGGGGTCCAGACATTTTTATACCCTCATTTTAGAGGGGTGGAGAAGATGAGGAATATAGGTGATTCTGTTTAGGGGCAGTAAGTGGTTACTAGGGAGGATGAATGGATACTTGGAAGAATGAATGGATGGTGGGGAAACAGACTGGCTTGAAAATGATTCTCTTTGGAAATTAACCTGAGAGACAGGTATTATCTTTAAAATGGGTTGGGGCAGGCCTGGTTGAATTCTTGATCTTCTTTCCTGCAATATATTGTGATAACAGGGAGGGGAAGGAAAGGCAATTGTTCTTTTGGGTAGATAGGTCTATCTGGTTTTATGCAGATAGAGGGAAACGTTTCCAAGGCCTGTTGATCTCTAATGGCCCTTAATTCAAAATAGTCTATACAAAAGAGTCATATTTTGGGATGAAATTCACTGAGCTCCTTCATTCTCCTGTTCCTTATTTACATTTTGAGAATAATATTTAGAAATTATGACTCTTATATCATATTTAATTTTTAATAGATCAGTAAATCGTTTTAGTCTATTTTTAAATAGAATTGTTTATATATCTTAAATCATGAGCCAAGAATTTAGGAAATTTTTTCACTTAGAAATGTATTTTAAAATGTCCTCTTTATTCTTTCTTTTCTTTTTTTAGTTCCAGGTGCAATAACTGATTTACAACTTGCAGAGGTAGAAGCCACACAAATAAGAATTACTTGGAAGAAACCACGACAACCAAATGGAATTATTAACCAATATCGAGTGAAGGTGCTAGTTTCAGCGACAGGAAAAATTTTGGAAGATACTTTGCTCACAGGGAAGAATGAGGTATTGTGTTTTCACTTCACTTCTTGGTGAGCTCTTTCTGCTTGGTTCTGGCCCTGCTAACTTGGAAGACTTACCAGCACTCAAACATAAAATATTTGACAAATTCCTAGTACAAAGTGAAGTAAATTTGGGACAGGTTGATAATCCAACTATTTCATTTTAGGTCATATATTATTAGTGAGGTGCCATTATTCTTTTAAAATTCATTTTTAGCATATGAAAAATGTTAATTGAGCAATTAAGCATGACTAAAGGTACTTCCATAAATGAATATTATTATGCTAATTTAGTTAATGAATTATTTGGAAACTACTGTTATGATTTAAATACTTCTTCAAAGGCTGTGTTTGCAATTTGTAACAGTTGCCAGGGAAAGGCACAATAATTTTATTTGCTGTTGTTAACAAATGTTTATGTCCAATTTGGTCTTGGCAAGCTAAATTTCTCAGAGCTGCCACATGTTTGTTTATTTTTTTAATTCACATTTTTTTAAATTCTGACTAAAGAAATCACATAACTAAATAAAAGAGATGTAATTCATTTTATAGTAGATTTAAAATAAAAGGACCAGGATCTTTTGACCATGTGTTTGCTTCTATCCACACTGGAAGTTTTATTTTATTTTCCCTTCATTTCTGTTAGGAAGTACAGACAGCACTGATTTTCCTTCACTGTCTTCATTCACCTCAATGAGGCAGCTGTTTACCTGTGTGTGAGGATTCCTGTAAACCTCCAGACTAGTCATATCCAGATATTGGCTGCCTCCTGGGGCACTCAAAGAATAAACGTACTTAGGACCACCACAGCAATCACTGAGCCTTAGAGACATACATGACAGTTATTCAGCACCTCGCTTCTGCTGTTCTGTTTCAGAATTACTGCTTCTTCTACCTGTGCTGTTATTTTCCCCTACACATACTGTCACTCTGTTTCTAGTCCCAGCTTTCCTCTACTTCTGACACTTACTTGCACATGAAAATTGACCTTACCCTATGTTCAATGCACTCTGGCCACCTTGGATTTATCACTCCAAGGTGTTCAACATCTCCAGCCCAGGGTTAAATTTTTATCCTGTGTTGACATCTTTCCTCTGTGCATAAGATGTTGAGTTATGCCTCTGATAGTTGACCACTCAGGCAAAGGGCAAAAGCTTAATTAATCCTTTGTTCTTGCTGAGAAGGTTTTAAATTAGACAGTAACATTTCTTAGGACTAGGTGACAGGTATCCCAGTTCTGCTAATGATATCCATTGAAGGGGCAATGACACCTGTCTAGCTCTTGTGCTTAGAGATTCTAGAATCTTCTTTGCAATTCTGCCTCTATCTGGTCTGCAATTCTTGTGACATAATAGAAAGAAGATGAGCTTTGAAACCATAAAAATCTGGATTTAAATCCCAATTTGGTCCTTTATTGGGCTGTACAGTAAAGCAGTTAAGAGTATAGAGCCAGAGAACAGAATACTTGGGTTTAAACTCTGGCTCTGCCATTACTAAAGAACTAACCCTGGGGAAGTTGGCCTGATCTCTATGAACTCCAGTTTCCTCTTCTTTGAGATAGGGATTATAACCCTATAACAAAGGGTTAATAATGAGTATTTAATCAGTTAATTTGTGTGAAGAGCTTAGAACTGTACCTAACATATAGTCAGTGCTGTACCAAATAACTGTGACTTCTTATGATTATTAATATTGGAATTGGACCATTTACCCTAGTTGGTACTCAACATTAGCTCCCCTATCTTCTCTCAATAAAAGGAGACATTGTGCTTCTCTTTATTTCCTGTGATGGTCTCTTTCTTCATAAATTCAGGCCCATTGCTGACATTTCTGATTCTCCGTGTGACTGGTGTTTGGGTTCACCTTTCAAGGTGATATGTGGAGACAGATATGGTAGAAGCTGTAAATCCAAACGGCCCTGGGTTCTTGGGCTGGCTCTGCTATGTTCTCGGTCTGTGACCTTGGGTAAGTCAACTTGTGGAGGCTTAGTGTCTTCATTTTTATAATAGGGCTTATATACCCTATATAAGCCTATATAAGGGTTGGGAGTAAATGACATAACAGAGAAAACCTCTAGCTTAGTGTGTTCCTTTATCAGCTCTTTCCTTGACTTTGGTACCTCTCTCAGGACAAGGACTCTCTCCTTCCATTCACTATTATTTTTCTCAAAGGATAGCCTCCATTCCCTGTCTCAAGAAGTCTTTAAACCCTTGAAATCTTTTTAGAAGTCACCAGTGACCTCTTCAGTGTCAAATACAATGACTAAATATTTTTAACCATCCTTGTTTTCCTTCTCTCCTCCAAAGTCTATCCCTCTGCCTGCCTCCCACCCCCAACTTTCCAGCTTTTGACACTATTTGCTCCTTAATACTTCCTTATATATTGTGACTTATATATTGTGCCCCCCACAATTAAAAATGAAGAAAATAAAGCTAGCTCTTGCAACTATTTTCTGTCTTCCTCTTTATAAAGGTATTCCAGAGAGCTTTGTTTCCAGCCATATCATAACATTTCACTTTGAGAACCTCATAGTTTCAGTCACTGGTTCCTCCTTGTGTGTCTCTTTTGCACTCCCTCTGCCCTGAGCTTTCTCTCTGACACTCTGGATTCCTGATTGCAACCATTGGTTGGAAGATTCTTCTGGGTGCATTATCTCTAAATTCATTTCCCTCTATAAAACAAAACAAAAATCTTCCCTGAGATAATGGGGCCTGGTTCATGATGGGAAGGAGAAGGTGAAGTTAGGACAAGAAGCAGATACTTAGACAGAGATCTTGGGACTGTGATGTTGACCTGTGAAGGTTCCCACAGGGCACACAAAAAGAAAGTCTTCCCAGGCAATGAATAGTTTCAGTGGCCAAAGAGAGACTGACTTGAAGCCTCAGTACCAAGTTTCAGGGATAGAATTCCCTAATCACTTGGCCTGGGCATACCACTGATCTCTGACCTGAAGGCATTGAGGCTGAGCATTTATGACATTGCTGTATGTCTGGTGTTTCTCTTTTTGGATAATGGCATCATTATCCTTTCTGTCATGAAGGCTTGAAACCTTGGAATTACCTCTGACTTAGGTTCTGCTTAGCATTTAATAGGCACTTAATGTTAAGGCTGATTATTTCTACCTCCAGAGTATGACTATCATGTCTATATTTTACTCTGTGTCCCTGTCCCAGCTCAGCATTACATAGTATCTTGCCTGGACTACTGCTTTTAATCTCACTACATTAGTTTTCCATTGCCATGTAACAATTTGCCACAAATTTAGCAGCTTAAAACCATTCACAGTTATTATCTCACAGTTTCCGTGGGTTGGGAGTGCAGGCACAGCTTAGATGCGTTCTCTGCCTAGATTCTCATAAGGCTGCAGTCAAGGGGCTGGCTGAGCTGTGTTCCCATTGGAAGGCATGACTGGGGAAGAATCCACTTCTAGGCTCACTCAGGTTTTGGGCAGATTTTATTTCCTTTTGGCTGTAGAACTAATGGCCCTGGCTTCTTGCTGGCTCTTGAGCAAACTACCCTCAATTCCTAAAAGACCCCCACAGTTTCTTGCCACATAGGCTTTCCCAAAATGACCATTTCCTTCATTAAACCAGCAATCAGGGTCTAACTAATACAATCATTGGAGTGACATGCCCAACCCCTTTGCTTTTTTCTATTGGTTAGATGCAAGTCACAGGTCCTACTCAACTCAAGAGCAGCAGATTATACGAAGGCATGAACAATAGAGATAATGGGTATCCACCTGAGAGATTAATCACCACACTCTCCCAGCCTACTATTTTTTATACTTTACGCACCTATTAGAATAATCCTTCCAGATGTAAGCATATGATTTGCATTATAAAAATATCCTAATGAGAATTGAGAACAGATGGGGAGATGTGTATATATCTATTTAAGTAAGCTAGCTCCTCATTATCATAGCAGAAAGTCAATAGGTCCTAAAGTAAATGAGTATTAACAGAGCAGTATTAGCATATTATTTGGTGATTTTAGAAGTAAACACCATAAGAACTGAACAGAGGAGTTAACTAAAGTATTGCTTCTGGGGAGTAAGGCTCGGAGCAGGGAGAGTATGAACAGGGAATTATTTTTATTATAAATCCATCATCTTTCCCTTGTTTTTTGTAGCAATGTACATATATCATGGTGATGGAACTTTAAAAAAATCCTTCCGTGCTAGGCTCGATCTAACTTCATCACTCTCATTGGAATTTTTTTTATGTAAACCTCTCATAATTTATTTGTTCCTTAATAAGTTGGGATTATTTAAATGAGTCAAAATATATATTAGATTTTACCTTTAGTATTTAAAGAAATATTTTAAAAATACATTAGCAAATTGAATCTCAAAGTTTGAGTATTTTTATTTCAACTTCCAAGCTTACATATGAATCTCATCTATAACATTCCTAATAAATGATTGCAAATCCAGCCTCTGCTAAAATATTGATCAACTCTGATTATAGGGTATCTAACACCACAAAAGCAGCTCCTATTCTATAAGCTTAAAATCATTCTTCTTTATGGTTTCAGAAGCATCTATAGGTAAATATAAAGTTTTAGGTGCTCTGATAGGCTCAGAAATACATAGATAAGTAAGAGCCCACTCTCTTCTTGAACTATTTTGAACTGAAATATTTGCCCTTTAATGTTGAGCAGGTGGTCCCAACTCTCCTCCCTAGACCTACACAGTAGATTATAGTGACTAGGAGCCTGGGATTTGAAACCAGGAAAATGTGTTCAAATTCTACCTCTGCTATCACTAGTTTTATGAACTCAAACACATGACTGTAAAATGGAGGTAATAATATCTATCTCTTTGGGGTATAATGAAGTGAGATCACATGGCTAAAGGTGTTTAGCACTCTGACACATAGTAGCTTAAAAAGTTAGTCTTTGCAGTAATAACAATAATACACAACAATTTAACTTTTTCTCACTGAAGACAATATTTATAATTTTCCTAAATCTTAATATCTTCAGGTTTTCATTACTAATGATTTCTAGGTCCTTCATATCACAAATTACTCTCTTGTGTATATTTTCCAGTTTTTCAGTGATCCTCTTAACTGAACACAGTTTCTGTATGAAGCACCATCAAATTGGTATTAACTGATCAACACTTATTTGCACATATAGTAGTAACATTCATCAGGTGTTGGGTAGATGGGAGGCAGGAGGAGAGGATGGGTGTATTCACATCTAATGGGTGCGGTGTGCACCATCTGAGGTATGGACACGCTTGAAGCTCTGACTCAAGTGTGGCAGAGGCATATATGTAACCTAAACATTTGTACCCCTTTAATACGCTGAAATAAAAAAATTTAAAAAAAAACTCTAAAGGCATCTCTCTATAGACTGCTCTTTACTTGGATTTCACACTCAGATCTCATCTGGTACTTGTTCTTATATTAGGAAAATACCTTTTTTCCAGCAGACATCTTGCTATCTAGTGTTACAAAATTCTGAGATTCATACAGATACATCTTTCAACAACAGGAATACAACATATTCTTTGAGTATATCAAAATTTCTCACTTGTGGATGTGAGAAAAAAGTCAGCTAAGTACGTGTCCAGTTGATAAGAATGAGGCTGAGGACAGAATCTGAGAATAGTTTAGGAATGCCTTGAGATAAGTTTACTTTATTGAGCATTAGGAATATAAACGGAATCAAGCCTTAAAGATTTGTTCACTCAAATAATGTGTTAAATGATAGTGTCCTTTAGGAGGCTTTCAGGCATATACTAATTATAAACTTTTATTACTTTTTAATAACAGCATAAAGCTTGTTATAGTCTATATTAAAATATAGAAGCATTTCTTAGGAATAAGTTAAACATTTTATTAATTCAATTCAGCAGACCTCCACCTAGTCTGAATTGATAGATATAATTGTTTTTTTCAAAAAATGAAACCACAATTGCTATAATGAATATTATTACATGTAAAATCAAGTTGGTTTATTCAGGTGGATTAGGAATTTAACTCTGAAGACTTCTTATTCTTTCATGTAAATTCCAAGAATTCCCGGGTAGCGTATGCAAGTCCTTTCATGTTGATAAATTGTGACATTCCCTAACTCAATGGTTATCAGCCAGTGTCTATTTTGCTTTCCAGGAGACATTTGGTAATCTCTAGAGACATTTTCATTGTCACAAGTGGGAGGATGCTTCTTCTGGGTAGGGCCAGGGTTGCTGCTAAACATCCTACAATGCACAGAACAGCTCCCCATAACAGAAAATTATGTAGCACAGAATTCAATAGTGCTGAGATTG